ACACACACACACACACACACACACACACACACACAGTGTCCCAAGGGCCTAAGACACATACTGTGCTGTCTCTGTGACCTAAGAAGCCCCAAAGAGCTTTGATTTAGCAAAGAGCATAATCACAGATGGCTGTGGGACTGCAGGGAGCCCCTCCTTCCTGAAGTCTCTATGTGGATTATCTGACAAGGGCCACTTTCTTTTTGGGGTCAGATCCTGGCTTTATTTTTCAAATAAGGCAGAGTCCTGTTATGACAAGTTCTGCCAACAGGAGGCGCTCTCCCTGCCCATCCTGGTAAAATGGCAGAAGCAACCCCCCCCCACCCCTGCTTCTTTAAAGACTCAAAAGGAAGAACTTAAAACTTGTGGCCTCCACCCCTGATTTTCTGGGGCAATGGGCACTTCTGAGGTCTGGGGCTCCTCCTTTCCTGCCCCCTTTCCAAAGCCCTCCACAATCATAAGGTACAACATACATGAACTTCCTGAAACTGCTTTCCCCACACAAAGAGCACATGGATGGGAGACACCTACAGCGGGGATGACGAAGGGCACCATGTTCCCTGGCAGCGAGGCTCCTCCCACAAAGGGTCTCCTGGAGCCAGCTGCAGGCATTCCATGGAGCACAGTTACTAACTGAATGTCACTGCACCCTTGAGAAGACAGTGACCCTTGGGGGTGGGGGAGCCTCACGTCAGCGTGTACTGGTTCCACGGCACCACTCTGCGACATGTCCTCACCAGTGCCCCAAATGCATCCCTAAAGAGCAGAACTGGGACCTTCCCTGACAGCACCACACGTGGCCAGGACAGCCAGTGGTGGACAATGAGGATGATGGTCTTTGGTTGCCTTTTTTAAGCCTGCACTTTATGAATTAAAGCAAAGCACTTTAGCAATGGAGACAGGAGAGAAGGAAACGGTTTCTCAAGGACTCTAGGGGAATGCTGCTGTCTGGCAAAGGAATGAGAATGATTCATGGATCCGTCTCCACTGTCTGACTGTCTTCTGGAACCTGCATTTCAACATTTTGAACACTAAAAAGCTAACTGTGGCCCTTGGTCTGTCCAGGTCCCTGCTGGGCCCCCTTTCCTTCCAGTAGGGAGAGGAGAAAGGTCGGGGTTAGTAGAGGAAGAGGCACCCCTTTCAAGGACATTGTGGAGGGACACCCCATGTCACTCATCTGTCAGGTAAAGGCCTTCCAGTCAGAAGGCCCCTGCAGGCCTGGCACTTCCCGGTTGCTCTGGGGAGATGTTCTCCTTGTGCTGTCCAGCTCATGCCAAGGCAGAAGCCCCTGCACCTGCCAAGGCCTCCTGCCCTTTGGATACTCTGGGTTTGCACCACAGCTTAGTGCTAACAGAATGAGGGTTTCGTCTCAAAGGAGCCTAAGCTAAAGTTGTATATTCTTGCTTTTCAGTGTTTAAAGTCTTAGTTTAAAAAAAAAAAAAACTAGCCAACCATAGCTCTGAGCTCCAGCTCCCTGTGAGCTTGGTGGTGGAGCTGTAGAAAGGCATGTTGGGAGCCTGCACTTGCCCTCTGGGATTAAGGAACGAGCCCTCCTGGGCCACATTTGGTGATGGGTCCACAGATGCTAGGTGCACAATGTCAGGACAAATCCCTGTGATTCAAGAGTTAGTTCTACTATTCTTTGTGTAATTAGGTTGGGGGTGTGGCCTCGCACACTCTTCACTCAGAGAAGTGGATGCACCTTTGGCCCTGAAATCCCACCCTACGCTCCTTGCCACCACACATCTGACAACTGCAGCGTTCAACATTTGCACAGAAATATTGGGTTAGTTTGAAGGGCAAATTACCCAGGAATCAATCTAGTAAGGTCATTTTGATTAATTAAAATGTGAAAAAAGGTAACATGTACAAGAAAACATTGTTGTTCATATTCTTGAAACAGACTTTTCTTTCAAGGCAAAAGTAATGACATTTGGTTCATTTTCACAAATTGCACACTGGGTGAGATCATACAGTGACTGCAGAGAGCGGTAGGCAAGCAACTTGGTCATAGGAATTTGCTTCTTTCTTTCATTATAAATGAAAAAGCTGTATGAAATGCACAGCTTTGAGTAAAATGATACAGTTTCCTTCTCTGTGAAACCCCAGGTTTAGAATGCTGGCAGAAGGCAGTGCTGGCAGAGTGGTTAATGCACATGGAAATGCTATTCTAGTTTGGCTTCCAGAAGTAGCCTAGGAAATCCTATGCACCGACGCATTGGCTAATGGTAATTTCAGTTTTGCTATAAATTATTCTAAATGTCATTTAAGTACTTCAGAACGAGCGCTTGCTCCTTTCTAGAAGCTGTCTAAGGCAGCAGATGCATAAAAGCACCTCAACTAAACTCCCAACTAGTTCAGCAGTTAACCTGTGCTCCTGGGCCACCAGGACTGCGATCTCCACCCCCACCGAACACCTCCACCGGCACTTGCGTGTTCGCGCCTGCCTGTCAGAGGCAGCCCAGGAAGGGGGAGAGACATGGTCATCGGGGCTGTTCCTTGTAGCAACCTCAATTCTAAAATGATTACGTAGGTGAGGGCGCCACAGAGAGCCAGCCTCCCGGAGACGCGCCCGTTCCTGGGCCTGTTCTGGGGATCGCTCCCCCTCTCAGGAAAGGCGCTTTGTGCGGGTGGGACCTAGTGCTGTGGCCAGTTCTCATTCACACTATGTTAACATTCCAATCCTCTCAGCCTTCGAGTAACTTGCTGGCTGTGTTTCTCTAGTTCTCACTGAACACACGGTGCAAACAAAGGCAAAGACTGAAGAAATCATCTCAAAACAAGAGCTCACACTAACACACACGAGCATCAATGTGGAAACGTGAGTTCTCTCCTGTCTTTATTCTGGGGAGGAGGAGTCCTCCTCGTCATCTTCCTCGTCTTCATCGTTGAACGAGCAGGGGGTCTCTCCGCGGGACTCGGAGCAGTGGGAGGCCGCACTGCTGGACTGGTGACTGTTTGGGGCAAGGAACTGCCCAGTTGCTAAGGCCACTTCAGCATCCAGGCACAACCCCTGGTTTACGCTATCGAACAGCAGAAACACACACAGGGTGGTTAATGCGACAGTTTTTGTACAACATGGGAAAAAGCACACAGGAAGGAGCTGCCCCAGGTGAGGCCTGCCACACCCCCGAGGACCTGTGCAGGCAGCACATGGCCCTGCTCACCCTAGCCCTGAGGGGCGAGCAGGGCCATGTGCTGCGGCCTGCCATCCTGACCTTGAAAAGAAGTACCTACCTTGACTGGGGTAAGGTGGCACCGGTGGGCAGGTCTAAATTTGAAACAGATTGGGTAGAGTTCAAAAGTAGTCCCTGATTTAACCAAGAAGGCCCTGTGGAGATATCTGAAAAAAAGAAAGAAAAAAAAAATGTAGGCTCTGCAAATTCTGTGGCTGCTGCTGTTTGAGTGTGAAGAGGGCACAGCTAAGCCGGGACAAGGCTGCTCGCCACAACAGCTCAACCACTCCCCGCCCTGGGAAGAACCCAGGTTTCTTCACCTCCTTGGAATAAAAAAATTTCTATAACACAAGAGTGGCAGGGGAACACACACACACACACACACACACACACACACTCAGGGGAAGACAAACCACAGAAAGAATTCAAGGTGAACAAACTCAGACTCATTCCTTTTGTTGGGAAGACCCCGAGGCAGCAGCTCCCTGGGACTAGGAGCAGCAGATGGAATATCTCTGATGCTGGGTGTCCTCACCATGATGGACCCTGACGGGGTTAACACCAAAGTCAGGAGTGGGTAAAGTGACAGTCAAGTCGGAAATCTCTCAGGGAGGGACACCTTGCTCAAGGAGCAGGCACAGCGGCAGATTTCTGCCTGAAGCCCGGCCTGCCCTCTGCAGAGGCCGTCACTGCCGACACCTTTGCTCCTGGTGTCCTTTGCTTTAGAATTCAAACTAGCCCTTCTTTTAAAAGGTCACGCTTTTAATGAAGGAGGTGTACAATGCCGTCCTGAGTTTAATGAAGCAAGAGACATTACTGTTTTAGTTACAGGAAGTATTTTGGACAAATCCTTGCTACTTATTTTCTAGGCACATGCAACACTTCTCCTATTCTAAGTCTGAGTAGTTCTTCTTCTTTTAAAAATTTATTTGTTCTAATCAGTTAAACATGACAGCAGAATGCTCTTCAATTCATTGTATACAAATGGAGCACAATTTTTCACTTCTCTGGTTGTACACGAAGTAGGTCACAGCATTCATGTAATCATACGTGTACCAGGGATGTCTGCCTCATTCCATCATCTTTCCTATCCCCATACCCTCTACCCACCCCTCCCTCCCCTTTGCCCCATCCAAAGTTCCTCCCCTTATCCCATGCCCTCCCCCGATTATGGATTAGCATCCACTTATCAGAGAAAACATTCAGCCTTTGTTTTTTGGGGATTGGCTTACTTCGCTTAGCATGATATTCTCCTACTCTATCCATTTACCTGCAAATGCCATGATTTTATTCTCTTTTATTGCTGAGTAATAATCCATTGTGTATATATGCCACAGTTTCTTTACCCACTCATCTACTGAAGGGAATCTAGGTTGGTTCCACAGTTTGGCTACTGTAAATTGTGCTGCTATAAACATTGATGTGGCTGTGTCACTGTTGTATGATGTTTTTGAGTCCTTTGGGTATAGACCAAGGAGTGGGATAGCTGGGTCCAACAGTAGTTCCATTCCATGTTTTTTAAGGAATCTCCATACTACTTTCCAGATTGGGTGCACCAATTTGCAGTCCCACCTGCAATGTAAGAGTGTGCCTTTTCCCCCATATCCTCACTAGCACTTATTGTTGCTTGTATTCTTAACAGCTGCCATTCTGACTGGAGTGAGATGAAATTTTAGAGTAGTTTTGATTTGCATTTCTCTAATTACTAGAGATGTTGAACACTGTTGCATATATTTGTTGACTGACTAAAGACTGAGTTCTTACTGCAATTTTACTTTATACTTACTTCTCTATCTAAATGGATATCTCAAAGAAGGCAATAACTGAAACATATAAGATGCAGATATTACTGTATGGTCTCTCTACAGTGACTGTAAGGATTGTGTCATAGGAAAAGAAATAAAATGTGGTAGAAACACTAGAAATACACTCCTAAAAAGAAATTATTTTAGTTACATTGTAAGAATCAACACATATAGAATATATAACTTGCCAAAGTAAGCTTTTACTTTAAAATGATATTTTTGTATTCCTGGGCACAGAAATGGACTATGTGTACTGAAACTGGAAATCCTGATATCCTGCCTGACTAAGTGAGAGGCTGTTCGTGTAGAAGAGGGGTGACTACATTAATTTTAGACTGGCCTTGTGAACCTTTTTCTTCAAAGGCTAAGGCAGCTGTGGAAAAAGAAAAAAGAAAAAAAGGACTCCATTCTAAGAAGAACAGCAGTCTTTAAATACATTAAGTAAGAACAAGTCTTATGAGAAGATGAAATTAAAGCCAGGAGTGCTGAATATTAACTAGGACATAGAACTAGAGAAACTTTCTGTCAGAACACAGCTATTTACTTGTTTGTGAGCCTAACAGATTACTTTTCTTTTCACAATGGATTTGAAAAGCCTACGTTTCTTTCACATTATCACTGGATCCACACAATGGTTCTCACACTCTTGCCAAAAGCCATTATGTCCCTTTCCACACTAAAAAGGCACACGTTTCTTCCTTTGAACTAACCAGAAAGTCTGTATCCCGGTCTGCAAATGAGGTCATGAAGAGATCAAACCACAGAGGCCGCCTAATCACCCACAGCCTTCTCGCTGGGACTAAGTTAAAATACAGTTCTGGTGATTTATTGAGTAAGCCCTTTATTCAGACCCTGCTGGACTTCCATGTGCCTGGGCTGCTCGTGAAACAGCAGGACTCATGTGGGACGGCACAGGGAGAAGGCAGCAGGACAGAGACCTGTGACAGCTGGCTGATGGGGTGGGGAGATGGGGTCACTGCTGCAGAAAGTCGATGGCACCAACTTAAAAATTAAATCCAACAGAAACCAAACCCCGGTCAATAAACTCTTCTGTTGTGAGCAAAGAGCCAACCTAAAAATAAGACCTACCACTTTGCTCATATTTGATGTATTATACTTTAGAACTAACATTAAGATGCTGTTGAAAAGTGATGTGGCCTAGCATGGTAGTACATGCCTGTAATTCAAGATACTTAGAAGGCTGAGCAAGAAGATTGGAAGTTCAAGGCCAGACTCTGCAACTTAAAAGTGATGGTTTGGGGCTGATCTTGGTGGTATGCACCTATAGTTGCTGCTACAAGGTAGGAGGATCACAAGTTCAAGGCCAAAGTGGGCACTTAGTAAGGCCCTGTCCCAAAATGAAAAAGGTTAGGGAGGTACTCAGTACTTATCTAAGACCCTGGGGGTTTAGTCCCCAGTATTGCTGCTCAAAACAATAAACATACCCACAAAAACAAAACAATTAAAAAAAAAAAACTGAAACAACAATAAAAAGATGTAAATTTTAGGTGAAAGCAAAGGCAAAAAAATTATTTAAATATTAAAATTACATTTGCAGAATGTACAATATTGCTAGGAATTAGGACAATGGCAAGCATCATAGGTCATTAGGGAAAAAACAAAGAAAAATCACAGTGAGTTACAACTTCACACCCACTAGGATGGCCACGATTAAAAAGATGGACAGCGCTAGGGACACAGCTTGGGGGTAGAGTGTATGCTCACGATGAGTCAGGCTCTGGTTTGATCCCTACCACCAAAATATTCTAGAAAATAAAAAGATGGACAATAACAAGTGTTGAGAAGGATGTGGAGAAACTAGAACCCTCCTACACTGCTGGGGTAAAATTGTATAACTACATTATAAAACAGTTTGCATTTGTGGGAAGCCATTCTCGCACGTGATTGGGTACCTCCCTGATTGGGTGTGAGGTGTTCTGGCCAAACTGTGTCAGAGCTAATCCCCACCCTTCTCCAGGTGCGAGAGCCTGTCCGTACGGGGGTGTGACTGACCATTGACCCTGAGACCAATCACTGACCCTGACCTTGGAATGCTGTCCCCTTCGACCTTCATTGGATGGAATTTTCCCCTGAATTTTTTGTTCCCCAATAAAAGGCCACTCCCTGGCGTGCCCTGCTCTTTCTCTCTCTCCTGCTAGTCCTGAGTAAGCCTTGTTGTCCCACCAGGTGGTTCGAGGCGAGAGCCAGTGGGAGGGCCATCTCGGACCTGGTCAAAGAAAAAGGTAATTGAGTCTTGTGTGTTTATTTTGATCTCACTAGTTAACTTCTATGCTACGAACCTCTTGTATGAAACCAGCATGCTGGTCGCGCAGTTGAGGCATTTCCACAAAATGTTGAACATCCAGCAATTCCATTCCTAGTTATTTATACAGACAGCAGATCTGAAAACATGTTCACGAAAACACTTGTACAAACACTTGTCCAAAATAGCATCATTCAAACCAGCCACTGATGAATGGAAGAATAAACAAAATATGATACATTCACACAAGGACTATTATCTGCCAAGGAAAAGGAATTAGGTTGAGCACCCCTAATCCAAAACTTTTGACTCTGAAATGCACCGAAATCCAAACTTTCTGAGCACTGACATGCTGCCACAACTGGAAAAGTCTGCATCTAACCACACGTGATGGGTCACAGCCAAAACACAGGCACACTAAAAATACATGATTAACTTCAGGCTATGTATATACACAGGTATGTGAAACAAATGAATTTCATGTTTAGGCGCAGATCCTATCTGCAAAGTATTTTATTACATATATGCAAATATTTCAAAACAGGGGAAAAAAACAATCCAAATCTGAAAAATTTTTGGTCCCAAGTATTTCATCTAAGAGAAGCCTAACCTATCTCACTGTTACAGGATGGATGAACCTGAACACTATGCTGCATGACAGAAGCACACACAAAAGGCCATGTATCGTATCATTTCCCATATGAAATGTCTATAACAGACAAATCCACAGTGACGGGAAGTAGATGGATGACTTCCAGGGATGGAAGGGCTAGGGGTGTAGGGAGAGACTGCTAATGGGCAGGGGGGTTCTTTCTTCAATTATAAACATGTTCTAGAATTAGACAGTGATTATTATGATTATACAACCTTGTGAATACACTAGAGCACCAATGAGCTATTCACTTTAAAATGGTGTATTCTGTTATGTGAATTAAAACTTAATTTAAAAAATTACAATGATATCATACCCACTAAACTAGGAAAACAGAACACTACTATTTTGCAGATAAGAATACAATTTGGGGCTGGGGATGTGGCTCAAGCAGTAGCGCGCTCGCCTGGCATGCGTGCGGCCTGGGTTCGATCCTCAGCACCACATACCAACAAAGATGTTGTGTCCGCCAGAAATTAAAAAATAAATATTAAAAATTCTCTTCTCTCTCTCTCTCTTTAAGAAAAAAAAAGAATACAATTTGGTAAATTCAAATTGAAAAATGCTGGCCTCATCCAATAAAGCTAAAGATGCACTTGATAATTTTGATCTACATGTTTGTATACAGCACTAGATAAATGAATAGGAATGTTCAAAGCATCAAGAAACTGGAACCAACATAAGTGTTTACCATCAATAAAATGAAGAAACTGTATATTCATATAGTGACATTTTATACAGAAGTAAAATTATATGCATTACAGCTACAATTAAATCACCTGGATGAATCTATGGAACATAAAGATGAGTCAAAGAAAATCAAATCACTAAAGGATATTTTAGTGTGAATCTATTTTTTACATAAGGTCAGAAATGGGCAAAACAAATTAATAAGCTGCTTCTGTTTACCATATTTGTAGCTCTAAAGAAAAGCAAGCAAACAATAAGAAACAGAGTGGTGACATCGAAACAGATAGGGAAGGACGCAGACCCGAGGGTGGGCATCAGGGATGTCACCTGTAATGCTTCTCTCCTAAACTAGGCAGTCACTGTTCTATGACTCTTTAGACTCTAAAACAATGTAAGATTGGGAAGAGAGGACCAAGGACAGTAAACATAGTCAACTTGAGAAGTTTTACTGTCAAGAACAGCAATGATTTTAAACATGAATCCATATTTACCCAGTCTGACACTGTTTTCTGATAATATAAATTTTACTATATTCCTTCTCTCTTAATTCATTACTAACCAAATGATATTTATTTTATGCATAAACAACAGATACATAAAGTTACATTAGAGCAGGGTGGTGTGTACATATTTTATTTTATAAACGGTTCAAAGTATCCCTTTCAGTACCCAGAGGGCACTGAGGAAGGATTTTTTAAAAACTCCTTCATCAAGTTTTACTAAAAGCTTACTCTAGTGTGCCTCTTGGTTAGTCCCGGAAATTACAGATAGTATTATTTCTGAAGAGCCTAATTTCATGGTGAATCAGGCAATTTAGATCTACATAATATGAGTTATAGAAATCTAAGTTTGCAATACTGTAAAAATAATTCTTAATGTTGGAAACATTCTAAAATTTTGCAGCTTTTTATGAGAAAGGTTTTAACAAGTTAGACTGTTGTTAATCAGGAACAAGATGCGATAGCATCAGTCAACATACCTGTGATATAACCTTCTAAAGCCTTTGGCACCAGCGATTTAGCAAGTTTCAGGTCCTCCAGAGAGCAGTTGCCCGACTCCAGGCCAAAGGACATTCCCATCCGTTTCAGTACTTCTATGTCATCATGGATCTCAAAGGTGTTGTCAAAGTTAAAGAGGTATTCAAACCTGCATCAGGGAAGAGAGAGATAGGATGGCATTTCCGGTGGTTCTCAAGAGGCTGGGATTGTTTTATGCCCAGTACTTTTATAACGCATGAGGGCCTAAGTTCAGCCATCTCCTCAAAGTTGTTGCCACTTAGAGCACTAGCCATTCTACCAGGTTCAGGGGGACGACACCTCGAGAAGTGACTTTCCTAGTTGTAACAAGCACCAGCAGTCCATAAACTTTAGCTGTAATGCTGTTGGAAACAGGAGATAAAATTTTGTTTTAAACTTAACACTTTTCAAAATTGTCTATGGCTTTGCCACAAAAGTCTACTTTGATATTTGATCTTTCTACTACAGTTGGCTTATTAGCTTTGGCAAAAAAGATTTTGAATGCTTACTTCACCTTCATGAGTCAAGTGTTAGCCTGTTTAGTTAAGCATAAATGGGAGACTTTTATTTTATTTATTTATTGAGATAGGGACTTGCTATATTGCCCAGGCTGGTCTTGAACTCCTACTGGGCTCAAGGAACCCTCCTGCCTCAGCTTCCCAAACAGCTGTGACTATAGGCACACACCAGTAAGCTTGGCTTATATGGAAAAATTTTTTTTGTTTTGCACTTTTTTTGTGATACTGGGGATGGAACCCAGGGCCTCACAAGTGCTAGGCAAACACTCTACCATTAAATTACATTCCCAGTCCTTAAGTGGAAGACTTTTAACAAATTAAACCAATGTCTAAATCCTGTCTTAAGGGACTAAGGAGTGAAATGTCCTAAGAAAAAGTGTCACACATAATAAATACATGACATGTTCTTGAAAATTGCCGGATGTGGCTGCCTAGCTGCCCTCCCGGCACAACAATCGAGTTCAAGGGAAGGTTCAGGGACAATGCTGGGTTTCACTTGTCATGGAATTCTATTAAAATCATGTGAAGGTAACACTTTTTATGGTAGATCTCAGATGAGGGCCAAACTACAATTTGAAGCAAAATGCCATATTTAAATAACCTTAAGTATATGGATTTGAATAAAGTACATGAACAAGTTTTTAGGGGAAAATAAATCTGAAGTGGGTGCCTGCCAAGGGGATGATTTCAGGCATCTGTTAAAAGCAGTTGGCTTTGTGGACCTAATCCTCAGCGTGGGAAAGCCTCCCAGCTAATGAAGGGGAAGATTGCATCACCACAGTAACTGCCAGAAAGGTCTGCAGCCTGCCTTGAACACAAGTGCATACAAGCTGCTCCACGCAGGGCAGCCCGGTTGGGGCATGAGTCAGTGACCACCCAAGGCACAGAATCCTGCAGATCCTAGCTTGGGTGAGCAGCATCACAAGCCTTGAGGCCAACAGCTCCCAGATCTTCCTGACACCCTTTTTAGACTTAAAAGACTAACCTGAGAATTTTATAATCCCCGACAATCAAGAGACTAACTTTATGTTTTTGTGTTTGTTTCTAGGGAGTCTAATTTCAGACTAACTACAAATGCCTTTGGTATTTTTTCCCTGAAAAGATGTTAAGCATTTTCCAGACTTGTACTGCTTTATCGCTAAGTTTACCCTTCATGAAAAAGTTTTTATCAGTGGAAAAAGTTAAGGGTACAGGGAGGGCACGGAGTGAGATAGGAGCCAGGTGTCGTGGCTCCCCCACCCTGCTCCACAGCTCTGCTGTCCCAAGAACACATGGGAGCGACACCAGTGCCTGAGAATATACCAGCTGCCCTCGTAGACCCCAGTTTCTGAAACAATTCCCAAGTTTCGGAACAGTGATCCAGATACACAACATTAACTGAGCCCTGGGTGGGTCTTATGTGAATTCATCCACAGCTTTTGCAAACTGGCAAGGTAAATACTATAATTCTTATTTTTTTTAGAAGGAGTGAGATTTCAGAAAGGCTAAGAAACTTAAAAGGTTGAAAAATGTGTCTGGCTGACTTCACAGCCTGCAGTTTCTAATACCATGTTTTTATTTCAATCTTCAAACCATTTTGAAATTCCCACTCACTGCTTTTTTTTTTTAAGTCCTCTTCTTCCTCTGCTTGGGAAGCATCCCTCAGACTCCCTGTATGCAATACAGACAAACAGGGAAACGCCACCAGACAAAAGGAGTGTTGGTGTCCCTGCCACAGTCTTGGGTGGGGCTGTGGGACTGAGGAGGAGTGGAGTCCCCCTGTGGCTTTAATAAGTCTCCAAACTTGGACAAATTATTCGCTGACCCCTTGTCCTAACAGCAGCCAACATTCTCAAGTGCTTCCCTGAACCAGACCTTCAGAGGCATTATTTTGCTTAATCCTCACAGGGAGACTGGAAGAGAGGCACTGACATCGCTCCTGTTTGTTCTAGAGATAGAGCTTTGTTGTGGTCTCATTCTGCACCTTCTGTGTACCCTTAACCTCTTCACGGTACTGGCCACAGCCTGCAGACTACTGATACAAACTTTTTCATGAAGAGTAAAACAAATTACCAGAGGAATTCTCTAATTTGCAAAGGGTTACTTCCCACTTGCTATGATGAATATTAGCATCAATTTCAATTATAATGTAAAAAAAGAAAAATTTGGGGCTGGGGCTGTAGCTCAGAGGCAGAGCGCTTGTCTAGCAATGTGTGAGGCACTGGGTTCGATTCTTAGCACCACATAAAAATGAAACAAATAAAATAAAGGCATGCTGTCCATGTACAACTACAAAATGAAAGAAAGAGAGAGAGAGGGAGAGAGAGATTTTAAAAAAGAACATGCCCAGCATTTTTTCTTTGTTTTTTGTACCAGGAATTGAACTCAGGGGCACTCAACCACTGAGCCACATCCCTAGCCCTTTTTATATTTTTTTTGGAGACAGGGTCTCACTGAGTTGCTTAGTACCTCACTTTTGCTGAGGCTGGCTTTGAACTCATGATCTTCCTGCCTCAGCCTCTTGTCCCACTGAGATTACAGCCGTGCACCACTGCACCTGGTTATGTGCTCAGCATTTTAATGGCCTTTCATTCATGGATAAACAAAAGAACATGTAAGTATGATATAATAAAATGACGAAATGATTGCTTTAATGCCAGATCTAAGACGTTTCCCTAAAAAACTGTAATCACCAATGAACCTATCTGTCCCAGCCCTTAGTGACAGCCTGATTCAGCACAAATTACTACACACAGGACACACTATAGCTCAGCCCAGGCACCACACCACACATGTCACACTATAGCTCAGCCCAGGCACCACACCACACATGTCACAGGCAGACAGTGCCTGGCACAGGACAGGGGATGGTGGAGGCGAGTAAGACGCACCCACATGAGAGGTGCTCACCCTCCCAGGCAGCCCCCGTGGAAGGCTGCAGGGAACAGAGCACATGATGGGAGAATGTTCTTAGAAGGCCAGCCCTGCACTTGCCCCCAGTTCCCCCACTCACTTGTCACTGGAGATGCTGCAATCTATGACTGTTTTTCTGCTCGTATTGATGATTATAAATGGCAGCTGAATTGTGGAGTTCAGAGCTGGAGGGCCCTGGTTTTGCTGTTCATTTTGCCGATTTCTCTGTACCAGGTTTTTGAAAGCAATTTGCTACAATGTTCAAGAAAAAGAAGATGGTCATTTAATGTGGAAGAGTTGGGATTTAAACAAATTAAGATAATACATTTAAAATTGTTTAAAATTAGTTTAAAGAGGCAGTCCTCCTAAACTAATGAATAAGAAAGTCAAACATTTTAAAAAATTAGAATGATTTAACCCAATAAATACATCTCAAGGGAAAAAATATCTGTACTTATAGAATGACTAACATCCTTCTTATGTAAATAATGGGGCCCCGGATTTTCATCAACCACAGAAATAGAGAGAGCAGATGTGGGAGAGAGCCCAGTGGTACCTGCAGCTCTTCTTGGGGTGACACAGCAAGAGTGACACCAACTGAGCTCATGTTTTCCATTTACTTGACAGCTTCCTAGGAGTTTGAGGTTGTTTTTTGTACCAGGAATTGAACTCAGGGGCACTCAACCACTGAGCCACATCCCTAGCCCTTAATATTAATAACACTTTTGATCTTTTCTCCCCATCATTGCACCCAAGGGCACTTTACCAATGCACTACATTCCTACCCCTTTTTACATTTTATTTTGAAACAGGATCCCACTAAGTTGCTTAGGGCCTTGCTAAATTGCTAAGGCTGGCCTTGAACTTGCAATCCTCCTGCATCAGCCTCCTGAGGTGCTGGGATTTATAGCTATGTGCCAGTGTGCCCAGGTCAAATACACCTTTTTTTTTTTTTTTTTTCAAATACACCTTTTAGACTGCCTAGTCTAGGGATGTGTTTTAAAGTCACTGAACCCTTTCTTCAGATGACATCTGCTGGGACCCTCACTACATAAAACAGATGGAAGCAGCACTGCTCTGGATGGCTGTAGAGGGGCTGGGGCCCCAAGCCCCGCCAATTTGCCCTCACTTACTGCCATCATGGTTTCTAGGGCAAAATGGAACCTGACCATATGCTCAGGGCACATCTGGAATCCAGCCTGAGCCTCCCCAATCTGACACTTTCCTGAGGAGGGAACTGAAGCTTAGTACTGATTATAAAATATATGGAGAACTAACGTCATTTTTTAAATTTTTATTTTTTAGTTGTACATGGACACAATATCTTAGTCTTTTATACTGAATTTTGCTGCTGTTGTTAGGCGCCCAATTATTCTAGCCTTAACTGTGTCCCAAAATCCACTATCATATCAATTACTATAAAAAAAAACTATCACTACTATTATGAAGCATTACTTAAGTTAGTTTCTGCTCCCATAGAACTAAATTTAGTCTATATTTATTGCTAAATTCATTTAATATTGAGGGGAAAAATATTCCAAAACTATAGAACTGAGAAAAAAAAATGAAATGCTTGAACACTTCTGTGGAGTGCTTCTCTTTCCTTCTACTAGAACAAACTCTTAGAAATTGTTACTACACTTTGCCTAACTTTGTGGACCCTGTGCAAGAGGATGCCTCATGATATGGGGGACATAACCAGTGGTAAGGAAGAACCTTATATCTTTATGACTCACTGATCAATACTATATTTAATAGCAAAGACTTTTCAGGTGAAGAGGGCAGCAAAAACATATTGCTATTTGGTTTTTCTTTTGTTTTGTGGTATTGGGGAATCCAACCTAGGACCTTGTGCATGCTAGGCAAGTGCTCTACCACTGAGCTACATACCCAGTCCAGTACTATTAGATTCACAGTAAAAAAAGAAAAATCACAACCCTTTAATTATGGACTGAGTTCCTTATTTGCTGCGCTTTGAATTATTTTTTTTTTCAGCCTTTTGTTCTTTCCAGACTCATTAACATCTATTCCAAAGGCCACACAGCTGTCAGCATGTTCAGTTCTGGAAAAGGTTGAGGGGCTGGAAGGAACAATTATACATACCCATGAAAATAGGGTATGTAGGGTGATGACAGGGAAATTTATTCACACTATTCCTTTCTCATATTACCAAGATAGGAGGTAGTGGCATGTAGGTAATATTACCTGTGTCATGTGATATCATAGGCTTGTGACATTTACTTATTTTTAAAAATCAAAGTAGCCGTGTTCAGTGGTATATACCTGTAATCCCATCTTTTGGGGAGGCCAAAGCAGGAGGACTGCAAGTTCCAGGCCAATCTGGCAAACTTATTGAGAGCTTGTCTCAAAATAAATAATAAAAAGGGCTGAGGATGAGTTCAGTGGTAGAGTGTCCTTGGATCCAATCCTTAGTACAGCAAAAAACAAAAAAACAAGGGGATGAGGCTGCAGCTCAGTGGTCGGGCGCTTGTTTGGTTCCTAGCACCACATAAAAAATAGACAAATAAAAATAAAGATATTGTGTCTATCTACAACTAAAAAAATATATTAAAAACAAACCCAACTAAAACAAAAACCAATGTTCTTGTTCCTTCTATAAAGCTGAACAGAAAAAAATTAATTATCATTTTTCAGGCTGGGCATGTAGAGATGGGAAGCTCCCATCTGTTGAGGACAACCTTGCACAGCACCATATTTTCCGATACAAAAACAGATCACTACAGGCATGCTGATAGAGAGGCTGCTATGTGGGCTGGTTGGAAATACTGCAGAAACTGTGAAGGGACAGGGACAACACAGAGTCAGCCAGGGAAGATGACAGCAAGGAGCTGAGGAGCAGTTCCCTGCAGAATTCCTCAGGGAGACTCAGGAATCACCTGTCAGCTTTCAACTTTTTCTCAAAGCTGCAGAATACTTTCCTCCAGCAAAATCTTATTTGGAATCTCAATATGAAAAATACCTAAGATCCCTGCTCTCGTGGCAGCTCCACAGGCAGGTGCCATGGGCTTAGTATGAAAGTAAGACAAAGAGAAAGAGAGAGAGAGAGAGAGAAAGAGAAAGAGAGAGAGAGAGAAATGGCTTGATCAGGATGGATCGTCATCTCTGGGTTTCCACTGCGCAAGGTCTGTGGTTCATCTGAAATGGCCACTCGACCCTTCCCTGTGTCCTTTCTTCCTTTCTCCTCAAAGATCATGGACAGACCTCTGAAGGGCAACTGTCTGCTCTTGCTCTCTGACTTGTATATGAATGTACAAAAAAAAAAAAAAAACCTCCAAGCAAATATAAGTATCTGGAAAGGGAAAAACAGAAACCATCTGGAATCCGAAAGAACACAGCATATTCTGGTCATTAGAAAAATTGAGTATTGAAGAAAACGGGCTATAATATTTGGGAACTTATTGCTATCTTTATTTCTCGAAGGTGGATTAAATAAAAAATTAAATCAAAAAAGTGAATTGGTGGTAATGTTTTTCATATAAAGACATCTCACTGTGAAAGGCAAAAGCATAAGGCTCTCTGGTTCACCGTACAAAGTTGATCCTATTACATTGAAACTGGCCCAAATGTACTTCCTGCCTGAAGTAAATTTTTACACCAACTGTAACTACTAAAAAAGAAATAAAATATACCCTACAATTTAGTCTCACATGATTTCATACAAGGGTTCTACAATACTTCTTAAAATAATCTAAATTCTAGGCAATTATCAAAAAAAAAAAAAAAAGGATGACTATAGAGATCTTTATTAAACTGTAAAATTTCTTTTTTTATTTTTTTCCTTTTGCATACTGGGGATCAAATGTAAGATTTATTTTCTGAAACAGAAATGCATTTTAAGTGTTGGTATTTCTGTGAATCTTTTCATGTTACAATCGTTTCAAACCATTCTGTCGTGAATGACATGATAATGGGTATTATTGGTGGATTTGATTAACTTAAAATACTTAAAATTTAATTAGCTTTACTTTTGATATTCTGAGTTAGAGAGAAAATAAACACAAGACCTCTCCCCTGATATGTCCAGGGTAAGGATGAGACCCAAAGTGAACTGCTCCATAATGAACCATACCCAGGCCTGAGAAGCTCAAAGTGTGAGGGGTAGGGAATGGGTGACCCAGATGGGTCCCCTGAATGGCTGAGCCTTTACTGGCAATGAGCTAGGATGGAGAGTCCATGCTGGTGTGCTCCTATCACACTGCCAAAAGCACCACAATTACAAAATATCCACTTATTTATTTATTTAGTGGCACTGAGATTGAACCCAGAAGCATGTAGACTCTTATTGTTTGGTATCCAGGATTGAACTTGGGGGCATTCAACCACTGAGCCACATCCCCAGCCCTTTTTTATATTTTATTTAGAGACAGGGTCTCACTGAGTTGCTTAGGGCCTTGCAAAGTTGCTAAGCCTGGCTTTGAGCTCGTGATGCTCCTGCCTCAGCCTCCCTAGCCACTGGGATTACAGGTGTGTGCCACTGAGCCTGGCTTTTTTTAAAATTTTATTTTGAGATAGGGTCTCACCAAGTTCTCAGACTGGCCTGGACCTTGAGATCCTCTCACCTCAACCTTCTCCGTAGTTGGGTGTGCACCACTGAACCTGTCCACAAGGACTGTGAGAGCAAGTACGAGAGGAAGAGAAGACGGGCAGGGAAGCTCTAGACACCCCAGCCTCCTTACCTGCAGGAGAAGTTCTTGTAGCTGGGCCCTCTTCTGCTTTATTCGTTCTATTCGCCTCTGCTTCTCTATCTTTAAAATATAAGTTATAAAACAATATGAAAATACATAAAACATAAAATACCACTTTCTTTTCATGTTCCTATTCTGATACGTTAAGAATTTTCTTAAAGAAACAACCCATTTTAACTGCAAAGGCAAATCACACCTTTTTTTTGGTGGGCGGGGTGGGGGGAGGACCTCAGGGTATGAAAGCAGGTTGCAATAGTAGAACTGTGGCAATAGTTGTCAAAACTGAAATCCATCCCTTTAATGAATATGTCACGGACCTCACAGTGACATTTCAGTACATTTTGGACACATGTATGACGGTGGTCCTGCAAGGTTATAATGGAGCTGAGGAATTCCTACCGCACAACTCATGTATTCTGGTGATGCTGGTGTAAACAAACCCATTTTGCTGCCAGTTGCATAAAAATTAGCACATATAATTATGTATAGTATAAAACGCTTGATAATGATCATAAGTGACTTACTGGTTTATGTTACTGGTTTACTGTACTATGTTTTTTTGTTATTTTCAAGTGCATTCCATCTACTCATTAAAAAAAAGTTCACTATAAAATAGTTACTGGCAGCAGCCACATATACCTCGCGCTTACCCTGTCTCTTGATTACATCATAAGGTCACAGCGAATGACCTATGCCATAAGGTTTTCTTAAGGACACTTTAGGGTGTTCATACAACAATGAAATCAACCAACCATGCATATTTTTAGAATGTATCCCTGTGGTCACGCATGACTGTACTTGCTGTGCAGTATTTGTTGCTTTTATTACTCAAGTTCTAATCAAAGTAATAGCACCACTTAGCTTTTACATGTCCTAGCATTCAATTAAGCGTTTATACACATTATCTTAATTCATCTTCATACACATCTTATGAGGTAAGTATTGTTGTTGTCCATTTTGCATGCAGGGAAATGCAGAAGTAGAAAGGTTAAGCACTGCCAAGGTCACACAGCTAATGAGTGGCAAGAACCAGGATTTCAACCTAGGCAATGAAGTCCCAGAGAATCCATTATTTATTACTTTGCCAAATCACCCCCAAGGAGGAGAGAGATCTCATTAATCAGTTTAGCTGACTTTCCAGAACAAAGCTGCTAACACAGAGATCCCAATATATAGATGTATATTCAATATACACTTCCTACTTGTAGTTCGAAACATACTTGTCAGATAAATTTCCCAGCTTCAAACAAGTGCTATTTTTCTCAATTTTACAACTACTTAGATAACAGGTATCAGGGTATGAATTTCCTTGCTCGTGAGTTCCTCACTATCTTCTTAGGCAAAAATCCAATGGGGCTCATGTGTTGAGCTCTGACATTAGATCCAACAGACCAAACCAAAATGGAGTCACAGATTCTGAAGGTCCATGCCACCAAGCCAAAACTAAGTTGTGTGTTTGACCTTCCAAGAAATTTAGACAGATAACAACTGGAATCCCCAAACAAGCCAGTGTTAGCCAGCATGATATGGGAGCCCTTGTGTTGTAATCTTCACAAGGAAATTAACTGTGAAATGGAAATTTAGTTTTTGATTTTCATTTCTGCTATCTTCAGCATTTTTTTCTGTCTTTAAAAAGCCAACATCCTTTGCTCAGCAAATCAGAGCACTCATTCTATACTGAACGAGGTGCCTATTCTAAAACCCCACATAAAAGTCAACTAAGATCTTTCAACTAAAGTTATACTTTCATCTTTTCACATATCAAAAACTCATCTTCTTGTCTACTCCAAAGAATGTCTTCCTGTCTGTTCCCCATCGACTCTGGTCTACACCAGACAGAAGCTCCTGCCACTGAGGTCCCCTAAGCACGACCGCACTCTAGCCTTTGTAAGATCCACTGAGACATCTGTGTGGCCTTGTACATTAGAAAAGAGGCTGCTCGAGCCTCCCCAGCAACTGAGGCAAGCTCCCACCTGCTCACCGTGCCCCACCTCCTTCCAGGTCAGGCCCCCACTACCTCACTCAAACCAAAAGTCTCCCTTCTCTGCCCCATTTCCTTCCTTGTTAATTCAACTTCCAACCCACTAGTAGAGTGATCCTTTAAAACACATCCTATCAACCCTCCTCTTTATCAATGGCTTCCATGGGTTACAGGCAGCATTCTTTCCAAGCCTGTGCCCTGGCTACACCCAGTTATGCGTGTGTTTTCTATGTGTCTCAGCCCAAGCAGGGCTTCTGCAAGGTCTTCCCTGCCCTTACCCACTTGTTGAATTCCAATTCCTTCGATGTGACTGAGCTCAGGGATTATTTCTTTGGTAAAGTCCTTCCTTAATGCTCTTTCCAGAGAATCTACACATACCTCCTTCATATGAGTAATTATCTCTGTCTCTTGTCTCTTTTTCTGATGCTGGTGACTGAACCCAGGGACCTTGTGCATGCTAGGCAAGTGCTCTGAAACTGAGCTACATCCCCAGCCCTCTTTATTTTATTTTGAGATGGCATCTCTCTAAGTTGCCCAGGCTGGCCTGGAACTTGTAATCCTCCTGCCTCAGCTTCTCGAGTAACTAGGATTATGCACTCAGCATTCTTTTTCTTTTTTGGGGGGGCACGGGTACCAGGGATTTTATTCAGGGGCACTCAATCACTGAGCCACATCCCCAGCCTATTTTGTATTTTATTTAGAGACAGGGTCACTGAGTTGCTTAGTGCTTTGCTTTTGCTGAGGCTGGCTTTGAACTCTCAATCCTCTTGCTTCAGCCTCCCAAGGCACTGGGATTACAGGTGTGTGCCCCTGCACCCAGTCTGACTTCATTTTTCTTTCATTTGTGATATTAGGGAACTGAACCAAGGCCTTGTGTAGACTCAACAAACACTACCAAACTGAGCCACATCTCCATCCCTGAATAACATTAGGGAGTACCCTGTGATGAATGTGTGGTTTCCCCCACCATCCATAAATATAATACAAAATAATTTTTTTTTATTTTCTAGGGGGCAGGGGGGACAAGGTACTAAGAAAAAAACATAGCATCAACCTTTATTATTCTCCAAAAGCCACTGTTAACCTCAGTTTACTCCATTTGTGGCCCCATAGCAAAACTTAGGTCAAACAAATTTAGAAAGAGTGTCAGGGAACATATTCATTTGGGAAAGATTTTCTATAATGTTTAAAGTTAACTAAATAACTAAAAAGGTTTTTGTGCACATCATTCTAAAAAATTCATGTAAGCTGAACATCCCACCCAATTCTGATAAAAGACACAAATGAAATGCCATTCTGATGTTACTGATTCCAGTCAAAGGTAAAAGTTTAACTTTCATAGCTATATTTAGATTACTGTGTAATTAACACAGGAAATAAACAGCTTGATCATATTTCGGATCCATATAGCATTATTCTGCATCAAAACATCAAATAAAATAACATTTCTACTATATGATTCAACTAAAATTTATTAGAGTGCTTAGAATTAAACTCGAGTGAAATTAAGATCTTTTCTAGGAAACAGCAAAAATTAAATCTAGTCATTTAAATCTTATGACTCTTAGTTTCATCATTTATACAAAATAGAGACTAAACCTCTAAAGCTTTCACTAATTCTAAAATTCTACGTAGTGTTTTAAAAGAAATGATAGCATATATGAGCTAACATTTGGGAATATCTTAATATTATGTGATTATATTTTTAAATTAAAATGCCACTGATGTAATAGAGTGCAAACCACTACTCATAAATAGTTTTTCTCACCTCCAGGTTTTGACATTCCTGAGCAGAATTGGTAGGCAGGCCAATCCACTTGATCTCTTTCTTTTCCTTTGAAATTATGTTCATTGCCATTAACACATTTAAAGCATCATAAACTCTTCGTCTAATGTTCTTCTGATCATAAGCCTGCTGAAAAATATTTTTATTGAGCAATAAATTTTAAGGGTAAAGGTATAATCATGTGATGTTAATATATTAAATTAAAACATAATATCTTTGAAGTGCTGAATTCATTCTATGCCTATTGAAAATATCCTTCAAAATTAAATAATAAAGATACTTTTAAACTATAAAACATAAAATAATTTTATAAATATTATGTTACCATCAGATCAACATTAAAAAATACTAAAAGGATTTCTTCAGGTAGAAGATATATCATTTAAGGGAACTTGGAAATGTAGGACAGAATTAAGAAAAACCTGAAAGTAAAGACATGAATAAAATTCAACTAATATTCACCATATTAAAAAAAAAATCCCAGAGTCCAGAATATGCACAAAACTAATACACACGAAGATAATAATAGCTATATCAGAAGGGAGTAGTGGAGATAAAGCATAAGCCTTAATTTTAGACTAAAAAAATCAAGGATATGTGTCTATAATTCCAGCTACTTGAGAGGCTGAAGCAGAAGGTCTGCAAAGTCAACTTCAGCAACTTAGTAAGAACCTGCCTCAAAATAAAAAATAAAAAATGGCTGGGATATAGCTCAGTAGTAGAGTGCTTACTTAACACGCAAAGGCATTGGGTTTAATCAGCAACAACAACAACAACAATAAAATGCATGTTTTCAGTTCTAGATAAAGTTGGAGCAGTAATGATTACTAAGTTGTTTTCAGTCTACAATGAGAATAGGAACTTGCACCACAATATAATTTCAATCACCATAAAACACACTTAGTTTGGCTGAGCTTTCTTTTTTTGTAGCAAGACTTTCTCAATGAAGAAATTGTGTTTTCTTACATTATAGAGCAAGAGGGCAGGTAGCTTCTAAGAACAAACTCCAGCCAATTAAATGCCATGATAATACAGAATGGGGGAATAACACTGAAATCATCTAAATTTAAAATAATCTAAAATAAAGGGGAAACTTAGGTTATAGAACTGAATGTAAATATGAGAAATCCTGACATTATAGAAATAACATAACAACAAATAACAGGTGGAGGCAGTGAGGTAGGGTTCCTGGTTTCTTCTCTTTGATACTGGAAGGGATATGGGCACTGTTCAAAGTAGATAATGATGTAACAATAGAGCTTTCAGCACAGTATATTTATTTGAAGTTATAAAACAACTATAAAAATATTTTTCTTTAACAATTAGTACTGATATATCTAATCTAAGTCTTGTGGTAGAAGAGAAAGATGGCGATAAGTATAGCATATTAATTTATTACACTTCCATAATCAACAGCTACTGTTTTGGTTTGTGTTTTGTGTGTGTGTGTGTGTGTGGGGGGGTCTTTCCCACATCCCCAATCCTTTTTAAAAAATATTTTTTGTAGTTGTATACGGACAACATGCTTTTATTTTATTTGGTTATTTGTATGTGGTGCTAAGGATCGAAACTAGTGCCTTGCACTTTCTAGGCAAGCGCTTTGTCACTGAGTTACAGCCCTAGACCCCATTCCCAATCCTTTTTGAGGTTGGCTTTGAACTTGCCATCCTCCTGCCTCGACCTCCCATGTCACTGGATTACAGGTGTGCACCACAGTGCCCAGCAACAGGTACTATTACAGATGATAAAAAATAAAATATTAAGTATGTTACTTAAAGTTATAAAGATAACCAACTAAAGAATTACAGAGTATAAATCTTCCAAATCATCAGAAAAGTAACACTTAGTGAACAGAGAAAAAACCCAACCTTTGTTTATATCCTGGGGTGCTAGGAGTGGATTATAAAATGTATATGTGAGATGCTGAAAAAGGCTAAGAGGAAATACTTCTCTGCAGTGACATCTGAGTGAAGATCAGAAGGAGGAGAAAGAGAAGCCAGACGGATGCTCACAAAGGCAAAGAGAACATCAAGTATGGAGACCTGACCAGGGACATCTTCTGGCATACTCATGCAGCATACGGCTGGAGTATACTAAATGTGTGGCCAGAGGTAGTAACTGGGGAAGTGCGAAAAAGACTTTGAGATCAATGAGGTAATGGAGGCCAGACATAGTGGGGCTGGTAGATCTGAGAACTTTGGCTTTCACTTCAGATCAAAAGGTGATGCACTGTTTCAAGTGTACAGAGAACATTAAAAGAAACAAAACCCACCATAAAATGGCTTATAAAGAAATATCTATGCAATCCAAAAACAGAAAAGGTTCAACTCATATTCTAGTAAAAGTAAACACCTATAGCAATAAACAAAAATCCCTATCCCCTGAAATTATAAAACTCCAATGTTCTTAGTCAAAAAGGACATTAAAACTAAAGTTAGAGAATATATAAAGAATAATATATCAGCTGGGTATGGGGATACACGCCTGCAATCTCAGCAGCTCAGGAGGCTGAGGCAGGAGGATTTCAAGTTCAAAACCAGCCACAGAAATTTATCAAAGCCATAAGCAAGTTAGCAAGACCCTGTCTCAAAAAATAAAAAGGGCTAGCGATGTGGTTCAGTGGTTAAGCACCCTTGGGTTGAATCCCCGGTACCAAAAAAAAAAAATCAGAATCAAAGGAATAGAACCAAAAAATGCTAAAGGGGAAAAGTCATAGCCATAAAGACTTTCATTACTAAACAAAAATAATTAAACTATATAAAGTATACATCATAGTCTACAAGGGTAAAAAGCAACAAAAGGGGCCAGGGATGTGATGTGACTCAGTGGTGGAATGTTTGCCTAGCACGCATACCCTGGGCTCAATCCCCGGCACTACAAAAACAAAACAAAAACCTAGAAACACAAATCAGAAGGTTGGTGTAAACAAAACCAAGAAAAGGTTCTTTTGGAAAAAGAATTCTAATAATTTTGAGAATATGGATGAGATGGAAGATCTTCAGAAAATACCAAACTGAACCTACTGGAGACAGAAATTCTAGAATGAGTAATTACCAAAGAATAAATGGAGAAAGTTACCTAAGATATACCCTCTCACCAAATCATCAGGATTAGACGGTTTCACAGGTAATATCTGTACAATTTTAGGGAACTGAAATTGACATTCAATGTTATTAAACCTGTAATGAAGTACACACAAAAAGAAGGCCTCTAAATTCATTTTATAAAGCCAGCATATTACTACCAAGCCAGACTGCAAAGACAGTTAACAAACAAAAACAGAAACCTCACTTATGCATATTAATGTAAAAATTCTAAAATTCTCAGGAAGCTATAATTTGATTAAATTCAATGTCCATTTCTGATATTTTCTTAAGAAAAGAGAGCAAGCCAGGTGTGGTGGTGCACACCTGTAATATCAACTACTTACAGGAAGCTGAGGCAGGAGGATTGCAAGTTCAAGGCCAGCCTCAGCAACTGAGTAAAGATTTGTCTCAAAATTAAATTTAAAAAGAGTTGAAGGGGCTGGGGAGATAGCTCAGTTTTAAAGCACTTGCCTAGCATTCATGAAGATCTGGGTTCAATCCCCACCACTACATAAAAAATAAACAATTTTTTTTTTTTAAAAAAAGGTGGCGGGGAGGTAGGGTTGGAGATCAGTTCATGGTAGAGCACTTGACTAGCACGTATAAAGTCTGGGATTAATACCCAGAACCACAAAAGACAAAAAAAGAAGCAAGAAGAAATGTTTAATTTTTAAAAAATTCAGGTAGTCTATAGTTCCTATTATCTCAAAATATTTATCCTCTTTGAGGGCTGAAATACTATACATATTGCATTAGAGTTTAGAATTACAGATCTGTAGCTCAGTAGTAGAGCACATGCCTAATACGCACAAGGTCCTAAGTTCACTTGCCAACACACAAACAATATAGAATTAAACATCTATGACTAGAGTTAGCATTATTATTTAATATTTGTGTAGAGTACATATAATATAATTACATTTAGTAAAATGTAAACTTTTTATCTTTAGTGATAAAAAGCAGATCAATACTTGCTTAGGGAGGGAGGCAGAGGAAGGAACGGGCTCTGAAGGGCTCAAAGAACCTTTTGGAAGTCATGGGGAGGTTGTGCATCTTGACTGTGGTAGTGGTTTCACAGGTGCACATAACTACCAAAACTCAAAGAATTCTATACCTTGACTGTATGTAACTATCTACCAAAAAGTAAGAAAAAAAAATCTAATTGTATACTATGTACATTTCCATCTGTAACTTTATTTTGCCTGAAAAAAGTGAGAATGATTTCTACAGCAAGAACAGTCTCTAACATGCATTAATAAAGAATGCAGCATGCAAAGCATTATCACTTCTGTGTTTAAAACAAAAAGGAAATAAATTTTATCACATGTATTCATAAAAGAATTTCTAGAAAGATATTCAAGCAGTGAATATTAACTAAGAATGATATTACCTATGAATGGGGACTGTGGGAGAAGGGAGTAATTTCTATTACACACTCTTATAGAACTGGAATGTTAATAAGCATGTCCATGTATGAATTTTCCAACAAAAAGTGACATTTTCTTATTGACTTAGACACTGACGAAACAGTAAAGTTCAGAAATGTAAATGAAGTCACTGAAGAGGAGATCATGTTTAAAAAAAGCATGTTCCATTAGTAACCCCCCAATTTTTATTTTAAACTCCTCCAATCTATAATATGAAAAAAACACCTCCTAGCTTATTGAGGATGCTCTAGCTTATATGATTCCTCAAATTTATCACACAGACAACCCCAAGAAGTAAACTGTAGTAGCATTGTTACTCCATATCAAGTTAATGATCAACCTACCGAATCAGCTGCCAAGTGGTTGTTGGAATTGGTGAACTCTGAAACCAGCTCATCAGCTACTTCATTATATGATGTTGTACCTTTTCGCTGAACTTTCTCACATACTTTCATAGAAAAATGTCTCAAGCCTTTTCCATTTTTATCTCCTTTTTTGCTTCGTTTACTAGAAGAGAAAAAAATTATGAAAATAAAATTTATATTTCATCATACTTACCAATGACTTCCTTCACAAAACTCTGTAAGATAACGCAGGAGGATAGCAATTTAGTATTTGCTTCAAGTTGTAAAAATTTAAATAGATAATAGGAAATGTTTAAAAATTAATTTTTGCCTTAAAAGCCTAATAAAGTATATAGTGCTTTTGTATATATATCATTCATTTACTCAACGAATATTTATTAATGAATTACTACTATGTGCCAGATACTGTTATAGACACTGGAAATAAGTGAAAAATGACAAAAACCCTGGCCTTTTTAGAGCTGATAGAACCATTAATACTTATTTTTAATTATGGATATTAGTTTTTCTGAAATTAAAAGCATCACTGTTCTTGGGTTTATTTATCTATTCAACTGTTTTTCTGTGTGTGTGGTGCTGGGATTGGCCCCAAGGCCTATGCATGCTACCTATATGCTCTACAATGAAACTATAACCCCAGCCCCTATTCAACTTTTAACTGAAAGTCACTGGAATTGGATCTAAGTCTTTAATTAAATTTGGTCAATGCCAAAGCCTAAACTTTGATAACTTAATTTTTAACATTTGGAGGAGGTTCAATTTAGTTCTACTGAGTATCATCAACTCTATGCCAAAAAACAGAAATACAAAACTAAAGCAAGACCTACTCCCTCATTCTGAGTCGGGGGATGATGGAGAGACAGACACACACAATGACAGATAATTTCAATTTTATAAAAAGTAATTGCCAAGTCAGTTATTCACAATATACTTTGGGAACGCTGTAGGAAGAGCAACATCTAATATGATCCCTAAGAGGGTGACTTGCTGGAGAAGAGTCACAAATAATGAGGAGTCGTCACATGAAGGAAGCTAGGAAAGCTATCAGGCAGGGTCATTAGCAGCACTGGACACATGAATGGTGAAACAGTCTACAGGAGCTCATCAAACAGTACAGTTTGATGAGTATACCTGGATGTGATGTACGACTTAGTGATGAGGAAGAAAGGTAGATAAAGGCCAGGCCCTTCAGAGCCAATGCACAGGAACTTGTACTTCATCTCGCCATATTCCATCAGCATATTACATTTATATTTAATAAGTCAGTTACATGTTTTCTGTTGTGCACTTTAACAGACACTAAGCACGCACTTTTCAAAATAATGAGATGAGAAAAGGACATTTACTTCCTTTTCCGTATATTCCCAAAGAACCATCTACATGCACCTCATAGTTCACCTTCCTTATCTATTGAAATGTGGTGAAACCACTAAGTGATAATAAGAGGGGCGGGCAGTACAGTGCGCTTTCCAGTTAGGGATAAATCTGTGCAAAGCAGGAGATGAAGTTATAAGGGGAAAGGCAGTGACAGCAAGATCACCTGAGAGGCTACTGCCACGACCCAGTCAAGAAACAGTGAGCCCTGAGACAGGGGCAGTGATTAGGTTGGAGAAGTGATGGAACTGCAAAAATTCTCAAGTTAAAAAACAGAAGAACTAAGCAACTGATTGACATGGAGAGTTTCAAGGAGAGAAATAGGAAACTCAGAAATAAGACAGAAGCTTAAAATACACACTGAATTTCAAAGACTTGAGCAGTGAATATAAAAGATCTCATAAATTTTACATAAGCTTCACATTAAAATATAATATTTTAGATATACTGGGTTAAATAAAAGATAATACAGGATTAGTATCTTTTATTCAAAATGCCTGGGACCAGAAGCATTTAAAATCTCAATTTTTTTTTTTTTTTTTACATTTTAGAATATTTGCACATCCATCACATCTTAGGGATATACCTGAGACTAAAACATGAAATTCACTTATGCAGCATATACAATTTATACATAAAGCACGACAGTAACTTTTACATAATATTTTAATAATTTTGTGCATGAAATAAACTTTCATGGTGTGGATCTTTCCACTTGTAGCACTCAAAAAGTTTCAAGTTATGGAGCATTTTGGATTTTTGGATTAGGGATGTTCAACCTGCATTACAATGAATTTCATGTGTTTCTTTGGTATTTTTGTGGTAAACTGAACCCAGAACTTGCACATGCTAGGCAGGAAACTATACCACTAAGCTATATCCACTTTTTACTTTTTAAATTAGCTCTCAGAAAGGTGGTCAGCATTATATTTCCACTGGGTAGCAATGATGTTGAGTTTAATTAGCCTATATAACATATGAATAGATGTATATGTATATTTTTGGAAGAGGGAAGTACCAGGGATTGAACTCAGGGGCACTCGACCACTGAGCAACATCCCTAGACATATTTTGTATTTTATTGAGAAACGGGGTCTCACTGAGTTGCTTGCTGTTGCTGAGGCTGAGGCTGGCTTTGAACTTGTGATCCTCCTGTCTCAGCCTTCTGAGCCACTGGGATTACAGGCCTGTACCATAGTGCCCAGCTCTGAATGGATATACTTAATAGGTAGCTGAATATATGAGCCTACAGCTTATGGGAGACATAAAAACAGACACCACGACTATATAGCAAAACTGAACACCTACTGTCAAAGATCCTATAGACAGGAATACAAACCCTTTTGGTTTTTAGCCAAAAGGCCTACATACCAGTGTCTGAGTAGAAAAAGAAATATTTGGTGGGGCCCTATATAGTGGACCTGAGAACAGGATAACTTCATAATAGCCAAAAGAGTTTACTAGAAGCACAGCTGCCAATTTTAGGGCCTCAGTTGAACTGAGGAGGAGTTCTGTCCTCTCAAATACCAGCTGAGTACACGGGTCCCACAATAAGGACTAGAGGTGTTGGAACAATCTAGCATATATGGTTCCCAAAATTCAGGTTCAAGAAGAAAACAATAAATATTGCCACATCCATACCTGTTTTAAGGGAATAATTAATAGTGAATGCTGTAATTCATGAAATTTTAAAAAATGAGAATGACAAATACCAAATCATTCCAGTAAAGTAGAACACTTTGAACATCTAAAAGAAAAGGGCATCAGCTTTTTCAATAGGAGGTACATACCAGAAGGAAATAAACATATTTAACAAAGAAAGTATGAGTCAAGAACTTTACATTCACTGACTTTCATTCAAAGATAAGAGGTACGACCTCAGGGATTACCTGCATACCAGCCCCTTCTGAGGAATCCACTAGAGGACAAGTTTTGGACACTAGGGCACTGACATGAGACCTGGTAGTGAGTATTAAATATACAGTCACCTGTACACATGGAAAAACTGAGGGCTCAGAGGGACAGAATACAGTATCTAAATGAGTTTGTGATCCACAGTAGATAGTTACAGTTACTTTAAAAGTGGAGAAAAATGAGGAGAATGTATATAAAAAGAAACTGCGGTTGGGGATGCAGTTCCATAGTAATGAGCTCTTGCCTAGCATCCACAAGGCCCTTGGTTAAATCCCTAACACCAAAACCAAACAAAAACCAAAATGAAACTAATGTTCTTAACAATCACATTAGTGGTAATATCAGTAGAATTATTTAGGTGCGTTGAGCATGTAATACAGAATAAAACCAATGCATAACTATCATTTACTTTACTTCTACAATCCCTTTCTTCCCAACGTCTTTAAAAACCATGACTTTCAGACCATATAAGATTTGAATTAAAACTATTAATATGAACCCATGAAATACTGTATCTTGGTATGTATATGTCTCTTAGATCCATCCATTTAAAAGGACCTGAAAAAATTTGCAACCTAGTAGCAATGATCACCACGATACCCCAAACTGAAGTGTGACATACATTCTCATTTAAAGAAATTAGGGTTTCTCAGAGCAATGGGTGCTTCCATATTTAGGGAAGGAAAAATTCAAGATGAACTTGGAACATCTTAGTCATACCAAATAACAAGGTATTCAAGACTACTACAGTCATGTCAAAAGAACTTAAGATCAACTGGCCCCCTGACCAAAGCCAATTTAAGTTTCGATAGTTATAATAATTGCAATGTACAAACCCACCACAAGTGTTTAAATTCATGAACTTCTAGGTGTCTTTTTAAAACAGAAGACCTTTGGAAGAAGATGGAAACAAGTTCATCACCTTGAATACTAATCAATAAAAAGGGAGCAAGCATTTATTCCAGGTTTCTACAAGGACCATACCTCCAGGAAACCAAGCTGTAGATGAGGGAAAGTATTATTTAAAAGAAGTGACAAATGTACTTTAAATGCAACCCACAATGACAGGCATTAATTATCAGTGAGAGTCACGCCACGAAGAGTAACTATACCTCCTATACCTATCAATGGAAGAACACACCACCAACAAAATACATTTCTATACAAAGCCTCCTCTATGTCCATTTGCAACTAGAATTTGGCATATTTAGATAACCAATGGCTTTTCATACACTAATTTATATAATTAGTACAAGTGCAAAAGTAAATAAAGACTGCTAAAAACAAATGCAGGAGTTATTTTGAAAGAAAATGTTGTGTATGAGGCTTTATATTCAAGCTAAAAAGTAGATAATGGCTTACTAAAGAAAATAAATTCTCAACTTGGTGGTTATATGCTTTTTAAAAGCCAGGAATGAAATAGGGTTGTTTTTCATCTAATTTTAGGTCTTTTTTTTTTTTTTAAGCCAGCATTAAGATAATCACAGGGTAGTTCTCAGTAATCACTTATTTGGTTTGCCCTCTGTTGTCATATACAGATAACATTTAAAGGACTAACTAGACTTTTAATAGCTACTAAATGCTGATGATCATACTCTTGAAACATAGATACAAGCCTACATAAGAGTGTCATAGAGTTAGTTCATTATCAAGTTCATTGATAATGAACTTGAAGGAAACATATAGTGTTCCAATCTAAAAACTGCAATACAAATATCCGTCTGGCAGGTTGTTGTGAGGATTAAATAACACACCATGCCTAAAACACACAGCACATAATAGGTGACTCTTCCCCTTCAAGAACTAATGGAATTTTTATAAGCAATACAAAACTGAAGCTTTGTGGTCAATAAT